TTTCTCTTTTGATTCTAACCACGAGCAAAACCCACGAATCTCCACTAGAGAGGCCAGCAGACCACCCAGAACCTATCGAGCAGCTCGAACATCTCTGGGAGGCGGGTTAAGAAGTAGTGGAGTGCCACCCAGGGGCTCTGCCGACCCGAAATCGACAAATGATGGATCCGAATTCCACGAACATACCGTTAAGCGAGCTCATTGAAGTAGCGACATTCGACCAGCGAGGCAAGTGTCGTCTACTCGCCCTCGATTATGAAAATTGAGGGCGAGTAGCGTCTGAAATCTGACCGCTAGATCCATAGAGCGGAGGTTGAAGGCTAACCCGCCAAGGTCAAAGGCGCCTCAGCGTCAGAAATAAGAACCGGGGAAAGCGGAGATGAGCCTCGGATGCCTTAGCCCAACCCGCATTAAGGAGGTAGGGTCATCTCAACCTTCAAGTTCAATCCACCCCTTGGCAAGCCCATAGAGTCCCCATTAAGGAGAATCTATTGGAAGGCGAGGCGAGGAATAATGGAATGCCATTCGGGGCTTTTGCTGACCTGTCACAAAGCCACGCGGAGTTCATTCATTCGAACATCCCCATTAGCAAGCTTCGAGCACGTCATTCTATGCAAGCCGAGGCAAATGACACCGCCCAATACCTCCAGTTGCGAAGAATTGCGAACGGAATGAACGTTACCAAGCAGGTTAGACCCTCGACCAAATCCCCTGCAGCTGGGGGGCTCGGGAAGGCCGAGGCAGTAGTAAAGACCAAGCGCACAGTCACGCAGCGATCGCCAAAATCCTAAGTAAAGAGTGCGAACAAATACAAACATAAGCTCGCTTCTCTCACTCGGTCTCCGAGAACATCCGACCCTAGCAACCACAAGGGATCGGATCTCACTCGAAGTGCGATAAAGGTCTCGGTACTTCCTCTCTTTTTCGAAAAAGTCATTACATCGAGACCCTTCCTCGCATCAAGATTGGCGGCAAGGTTTGGGGAACACAGTTGGTAAGATCGCCAAAAAGCCCATGCCTAGACGGCTATGGTAATTTTATCACTAGTACAATCAAAATTTCCCTTAACAAGCGGAAAGGTCGATCGCGTAAAACCTTTTCATCGCAAAAGGGAGAAAGGTAAGATCAAACAAACAAAAAGAACGAAGAGAACGAGGAAGGTAGATCAAGCGGATACCGGGTGGTAGAACGACGATTTCACGCAGGCTCCTCCGGCTCAAGTTCCAAGGCATCCATCCACGATCGAAAGCCCGATGTCAAGACTCTCCCGCTCCATGCTCCGGAATGATCGCCGAAGCGAAAAAGAGCTAATGTTGGGTCTGAGCGGCCATCCACTTTGGAGGGTGGCTCGCCCCATGTGAAGTGGATGCCCGACAACGGGCCGGAGGCGACCCCCTTCTGGTCCTCCGAACCACTGCCACGACACCTGAAGACCCTCCGACCGTGTCCTCCTCCATCCGCCCGCCTCGGGCGCCACGACACTGGACCACCGGTGGCCTTTGATTTACACCACCCCTCGGACACCAGGGCTACGTCCAGGTGCCGGGCTTGCCGTGGTCGCGGTATCCTCCGCATGGGCCTCCAGTGACACGTACTGCACCGCGCCCTCGGACACCACCGCGGCTGCGTCCGGCTGCTCCTGGCTTGGCGCGGTCACGACCGCCTCCACTGGCGATAGCGGACCCTCGGCCGGCTATGTCACGCCCGCCATGGAAGGCGTAAACGCTCGGCAACCACCAAGGGCGAGAGACCACCACCGCGGCGCCCGAATTCGGTCGACCGAACAGCGACGCAGATCATCACCACCACCCTGCCCGAAGCAGGCGACATCGGTTTCACCATTGTTCGTCCTACCTAAAGGAAAGACTCTTCTTGGGCGCCCCCCGTCCGGGCGGCCCGTCCACAAAATCTACACAAAGGTAAGAGGTATAGGTTAAAACAGAGAAACAAAAGGAGGAAAAGCAGGGAGTCGGTGGCTTACTCTGGCGCCTTGGCCGATGGAAACGCTTTGGGGCGAACCCCGGACCCCGCCCTTAGCTCGTGCTGGTAGGACCTGCTCGAACCCGCCCCTATTCCCGGCGGCGGGGCTCATCTCCTCTATCTCCAGGGTGCGACGGAGCCACCCCTCCGTCAATACCTCGGGCGGGTGGCGAGATCCACCGCCTCCGTCATCTCGTGGGCGCGTGGCAACGGATCCGCCCCCTCCGTCTCGACACCTGCAGGCGTGGCGGGTCCGCCTCCCCATCCATCGATCCTCCGGTTGGCACCGGCAGCGAAGCGGCGGACTCTTCGGCTCCCACCTCTGCTGACCTCGCGGACTCGCTTCCCTCTGCGCCGAACGGGAGGGGTTCCTGCACGGACGGTTGGGCACTTGTCAGCGTGCCCTTGTCCTCTAGGACACCCCAATCCATGTTGCCTGCTACCTCGTCGCCATCGTCATCATCATCACCGTCGTCGTCGTCACTGCTTACATCCTCTCCTCTATCCCATGCTTCCTGCTTCCGTCGCCTCTCCTGCTTCTTGAGCTCCCTTGTCTTCTTGTCCCACTCGGCCACAATACGATTCGATGCCGCCAACACCCGATCCCTCGGCATCGAGGCCAGACTGTCCTTGAAGATTAGTCTCCTCGGCTGGTCCACAGATGCCCCAAGGTCAGCATCAAAGGGTCAAAAAGTTCAAGTAAGAAGAGGAGCGCGGGAAAGAAAGCTTACAAAATAAAAAAAAACTAGTTCCGACCGCATTGGGGGATGCCTTGGCACCGGATACACATGGTCGAGGGCGGCGCCGGCGGTGTCCTTCAAAGGCTCCATCGCCTCCTTGATGCGCTGCGCCACCTCGGAGGGAGGACGCGCTTCATCGACGAGCACCGTCCCTTCGAACGACGCTCGAGGCACCATCTGGTGCAGGGGAAGCGCGCCATCGGGCCCACGCCCCTCTCCTCGCATGGTGTCGCCGATGATCCCCGACCCCTTCACGCCCGCCTTCTTGGAGCATGGAGGGCGGCGAGAAGGTCTATGATGTGCTTCTTATCCTTAGTCGATGCCCCCATCGCCACAAGCTGCGGAGCCTCTTGATGAGGCGCCCGGTGTACTTCCGAGGAGGAGCACTCACATCATCCCGACATAAAACCACTGCGAATGCCACCCCTTGTTGGAGGTCGACGGACACATCAGCGGGTAGTCCCTCGGCCGGGTATGGCACAAATGAATCTTTGGCGCATCCCATCGGCACATTCACCTCCTTCCCCCAACCCGTCTCTTTGATGGTCGACGGTGAAGAAGTGCGCCACGATCGAAATGGGGATTGATCCCTAGGAAACCCTCGCCGAGACAAACAAACGCCGCCATATGTTGAACCCCATTGTGAGTAAGATCTTTGCAACTCCACCTAGTAATAATCCAAAGAGCCCAAGAAGGAATCTATCTTGTGAATACTGCAAATCCTCATGGAAAATAGCAAAAGATACGGCGTACCCTTGGTGGCGTCGACACCTCCTCCTCACCAGGTAGCAGCCACTCCACGATGGTGGACTGAGGGCGAAGAAGGCCGCGGTGGACAAGGCCTTCCAAACGCCGAGAGCTAATGCCGGATCTGCCCCACAGCTCCATTGAAGCGTCGGGAAGAAAGGTGGGCGCGAGCTCAAATAACAAGCTGCGATGCGGGCGCGAGCTTAGCAGGTGGCTGCAACACGGAGGTGAACCCTAACGACGGTGGCGGTGTGGCGCGGCGAGGCTAGGGGCGATTAGCGCATTTGAGGTTTGAGACGCGAAGGCGAGGGGTAAATCACGGAACCCTAGGGCGAACCCCATGGTTTTATAGGGGAACAACGGATCACGAAGGGCAATAGTCCACCTCGATCTCCGGGCCTACCACGCGCCGTCGCGTCACGTCATGGACACGCGCATGCGATCCCTATCCTCGCCCCCAATCGAAATCGTTGGACCGGTTAGCCTTCTGGCGACCGGACTCTTTTCCCACGGAGGGGCGTGGGCTAGAAAAATCTCTTCTCCGATCCGTCCTGGCCCTAACGACCAAGGGTCGGCCCAACCATCTCAACGACCGTCCCCAACGAGGATGGGCCCACGAGAAAACCAGGACTCCGGTGCACGAGCATCAGTGGGGGCCTCGACTTGCAATGGAACCCGGCCAAGAATTAACCTAGACGTTTTCCCCACAAAATAGGGTACCGGGTTCCCTTAGAACTATCTAGTCGACAAAAAACCGAATCTCACCATCTTGCCCGTGAAGGGTCAAAACACCCCGTAGATTCTATCCAGAATCACCCGGGGCTCGGGGACTACACCCATCCAGGGCGCTTCAGCGCACCCTCACAGGCGAATCGGAACATCCCCTGACGACTCTGCTTAAATCACCCGGGGGCTCGGGGGCTCTTGTTGGAACCTAATCTTAGGGGTACACAACGAGGTGGAACTAGCAAACACCGGGCGTTGGCACTCCCGGTCAAGCGAGGACACTCTTGTGCCTCTTGTTCGAACAGCAGAAGATCATTTCCACTACTCGCTTGACCCTCGAAGGGCTAGGCTCAAAAAAGTCTTGCCCGACCCCTAGGGGCGGGCTCCGCCTCGGCCGATGGTGAGGCTAGCTCCGCTTCGACCAAGCGCCCGAGGGACTCACTCACTTCATGCTTAACGATCGCGGCTGTCGGCTCACCTCGCCCAGATCCCGAGGCCTAAACTCCATCTCGCCCCACCTCCGAGGGCTAGGCCTCGTCTCACCGGACGGTCGGGGCGGGCTCCACCACGACCGACAGTGCGTCGCGACCCTCCATAATAATGAACACGAGGATACGACATGACATACGTGTCAAACGCGGTACCAAGGACCATGCACTACGCCTGCTGCGGATGGCGCTGTCGAGGCGGATAGAGGGCGGGCACTTTAGCCTTTCTAGGCGCGCAGAGCTCGAATGTTGTTGCAAAGCGCGTGCTCTTCGCCCTACAGTATTGTAGGCGCCGCCTTTAGCCCTCGGGTGCGGAACCCGACACAGACACACGACAACCGCTATGCTCCAAAGGGGACGGGCGGTCACCCCGCGTGCCGCTTCCTACAAGGTCGCAGAATCGACACCCCAGACCGACACTCCGCCCGGCAGAGGCGGGACAGGACGTGACCACTTGCAGAGCATGGCATCATCAACGCACGCATGCCCAGCGAACGTGCCCCCTCTGACACCATCCGGCTGTGTCAGAGGGGCTGGCCCAGAAGAAGAAGAAGACCCGGCGCTTTCGAAGGGGCTTCTTGGTCTCTGGTTTTTTTCCTTCCTCCGACATGTAAGCCCGCTCCTCTTGTTCTATAAAAAGAGAGCGATGGCACCCCGCTAAACCGCTAAAGGGGGGAGATCATTGGCGAAAGCTTGATCGACATAATTCAACAACATACCCACATACACACGGCCAAGCGGACACCAAACTCTTGACGCGTCCTTCGATCCTTTCCATCAAAGACCTTGGATCAGTCCCTCTCTTAACCGTTTGTACCCCTACTATGAACCATATTCGCGCTAATAACACGAAGCAACAAAGGTGGAGTAGGGACATTCGGTCCGAACCAGTATAAACATTGTGTCCTTTAACACACCATTCAGACCTAACACGTATCAATTATAAATTTACTAGCAAGTGCTGGTTCGAAACACCGACGTGCGTTTTTCGTGCTGCCGACAGGGGACGACGACGACTGTCTGAATCGTCGGGCCGACGTGCTTGGATTCAGGTTTGCTTCTTCGTCGGCAAGGCTCCGGACGCTGCTCCAACCCACCGGAGTCAGCAGAAGACGAAACGACAAGTCCTGAAAATTTTGCTTTGGATCAGTACGAGCTGTTGGATGTGAAATGGAGGGATGAGATGAGAGCTACCAGAGGCAAAGTTACTCAATCCTGGTCCGCGGGTGCCGCACCGCCGCTCCATCCCGGCCGCCGCCTCCCTCCACCCTCAGCGCCTCCCTCCGGCCCGGACGCCGCCTCCCCTGGCCCAGATCTGCCGGCGGCGGGCAGGTCCCTGCCGGATCTGGCCTCCACGACCGCACCCCACCCCACCGCAAGGCTCCAGAGCTCCGGCACGCCGGATCTCCAGAGGCTCCCGCCGGCCGCCGGCAGCCAGCAAGGCTCCAGGACGCCGCCGCTCTCTGAGATCCCGCCGTTCGCCTGGATCACGCCTCCCTCCAGACTCCGTCCGGCCTCCACCAAGCTGCCGAGGTGAGCACGCCTCCACCAAGACGCCGTAGCTCTTCTGGTAGTTGCAGAACACCCTGATGGGGATGCTGTCAACGTATCACCTGCGTGTGCATTTCATATCATTTTTTTTGTAGCTCATAGCTCATAATCAACGTAGTGTAGGCCGTAGTGTTGTTGGTAGAACTCAGTGGCTGTTATTGCTGCTAGAAATTCAGAGTCTGTGCATCTGATTCCAGTTTGACCCATGGTGGCGGCGGCAGTACATGAGCCGGAGGTGATCCGCGACAAGGCGGCGATGAACACATGGTCATGCCGCCGCCGCGTGGAGGGAAAGGTTGTCGCTTTAGTCCCCACAATGGGCTTCCTCCATGAGGGTCACCTCTCGCTTCCGTCTCCAGCGGCAGCGGCGGCCTCCGCCGGCCCTGTCGCCGTCGTGGTCTCCATCTACGTCAACCCCAGCCAGTTCGCCCTGACCGAGGACCTTGCCACCTACCCCTCCGACTTCGCCGGTGACCTCCGCAAGCTGGCCGCCACCGGGGTCGTCGCCGCAGTCTTCTGCCCCCCGGACCTCTACGTCCGCGGTAGCGCTGACCGCCCCTCTGCGGCCGGCGTGTGTGCGGGGCACGGTGTCATGCCTGGAGGGCGCCGGTGGGCATGCACACGCGAGGCGTGGATTCGGGTGGAGCAGCTGGAGAAGGGCTGTCGCGGAGCAGCAGGCCGTTTTCTTCCAAGCGTGGCCACCGTGGTCGCCAAGCTGTTCAACATCGTGGAGCCGGACGTCGCTGTGTTCGGGAAAAAGGATTATCAACAGTGGCGCCTCATCTGCCAGATGGTAACAACTTTGACATCGCTTTGACATCGATACACAAACATAATTTCTTCTGTTTACAATCAGCAATTGTCAAATTTCAATAGTTCAAGTACATATCTGCAGAAAAAGATAGCCATGGCAAATTGAAGCCAAATAGGCCTTAGACCATCAACCATTCAGACAATTACTTTTGCTCTAGACCTCTGGTTTATTGCTGCTTTCACCAAGCTGAAAACCTGGCACCAGTCCCCCTAAAAGAAAACAAAAAAGTTGTCACGGGATGTCTCTTGAGATGCCAACTTTGCTTGTCTTCTGTTTTCATGTTCACTTCAACTCTAGCCCCATGTAATGTGCCTTACCTATTTATCTCAGATCAAGTTTATTTGCTTTGTGTTACTGATACAAGCTCTTGCTGTTTTCAGGTTCGTGATCTCGATTTTGCCATACAGATAGTTGGTTCGGAAATAGTGTGAGAAGCTGATGGTCTTGCCATGAGCTCTCGCAATGTAAATCTGTCAGAGGAGGATAGGGAGAAGGTCTGTCTTTTACTGGAAGTTGCATTTTGTTTTGCAATGAACCTTTTTTTTTAATATGTTGTACAACAGTCACCATAAAATAGAGAGGTGAGTTTTAAGTATTTTGAAGAAAAAAATTATTCTGCAGTTTCTTCAGTGTTTAATTTAATCAGGTTGCACTCATGCAGCAGCTTACCTGCAGTAGGCATGGTTGTAAACTATACTCTGTTAGAAGTGTTTGTTGAATCTACGTAAAGAGCTGCAGAAATAAGTTAGACGACTAGTAAATTGCCTTGCTGTTGCAAGGGTTTTGCTTCTCTGTCCTTGTGCAGACCCAAGTTATGGACAATTTATCATCACAGCAATCTTAAGGCAGTTCATATAACTAGATAAGAAGGGAAGAATGGGATTTAATTGTCAGTTTATCATCACAGCAATCTCAAGTCAGTTCATAGAACTAGACAGGAGGGAAGAATGAGAGTTAATCTGCAAATGCAAACATGATGATTTTGGTCTATAGTATAGTGCGGTGAGTCGACTGCATGTAAAATTTCTAGAAGAAACCATAATTTTCAAACTGTTACTCATTATGCTGATTTTCACATGTACTATATTACCCCTAAGCTGTGGTGTAGCTTCCATGCTATAGATCAGAAGATGATGGTAGCTTTCTTGTTTCATTGTTAGAATTTAACAGTTCGTTTCTTCTCTCCCCCCCCCCCTCCCCTTTTACAACTTAACAATTTGATTTGTTTGTTAATAATTTTGCTGCATATATGGATTACCTGCGGAGGTACAACATAGGAGGAATGTAGTAAATCAACTTTTTGTAAATATCTTTGTTCCTTCTCACAAGAAACCTGGCTGTTAACTGTGGTCATTCCTTCATTAGGCGTTATCAATTAGTAGATCACTGGTGGATGCTAGAACCGCCGCCCTCAGTGGAAGCAATCATAGCCAACATATAAAAGATCAAATAGTGCAGATACTTGCTGAAGCTGGTGGCCAGGTTGACTATGTTGAGGTAATATGTTGTACTATGTCTCTGTGCTGCTCCTGAGCAATACTACGTTTCGTAGGTATTCCATTAGTGATTGAGTTTTCTGCTATCTCACCGATCATAGGTTTTTCATCGTACTGTGTTTCTTTTAGTAGTGTAGTGGTGCTGGGTTCCCCCTGGGGAGGGGAAACTGCTGAAATATGCATGACTGACATGTTGCAAATTTATTGCCTCCTAATGACAGCAGAATTCAGTACAACTAAATCTACCCTTTTTTTGTTATGATGAGAACCCAGTGCTTACCTGATATGATGACTACTTCTACCTGTTTTGATTAGGCTATTCTGTTAGGTAAAGCATATATCGATGTAATGATCAAGTGATTCCATATTTATTGATTCAATTCAAAGTCGACGTTTATTTGTTGTCAATGCAGATTGTGGAGCAAGAAAGCTTGGTGCCTGTGGAGAGGATGGACCGGCCTTGTGTAATTTGTGTTGCGGCGTGGTTCGGAAAGGTCAGGCTAATTGACAATATCGAGATCCAGTCGACGTCCTCTGATAAATATAACTCCGTTGTTTGTCTATCTGCTGAGTCTTGATGAAGGAAGATGTAGACACGGACGGCTTCTCGTTGTGCAACGAGTATACCGACATGCTGAGCCTTTCTTGTCTCAAATACCTATTTATGCCTGCTTTTGCCTGAGTGGCTAGAGTTCTTTCTCTGAATAACAAAAATGTTATGATTATATATATCAAATAAACTGAAAGGTAGTCGACGCTCAGAGTTGGCCTGAAACTCTGCTCATGATCAAATTGCACCAATCTCGTAGCACTGCCCACCGAAGCCAAGATCATGAGTACGTGTGATCTACAGGATCAGCACTAGGGTGATTGATTTTGTGATTATATATCAGGCATGCGTGGCAGTTTTCTGCACTATGCACAAGAAGGATTAGCTAGGCACATAGGATATACTTTTGATAACTTGAACAGACATACATACATCAAAATAAATGCATAATAGTCATAAAACATCTGCTTTAATACCATGTACACAAAACTTCCAATGAAGACAAAAATATCAGCCACAAGATGCTCAGATTACTAATGAGAAAGGCTCACGGCACAAGGTGAGCAACCCGCCGGATGCCTGCGATGCACATGCACTGCAGGACAGGACTCTTTCTTTTAGACTTCAACAGCAGTTTAACCCCTTAGTATGGGTATGGGAGATGCCGATTTGCTGGCAAATGTGTGTTCGTTGTTTCAGGAGCAATATAATCTCGCTCTTCGTGTTCATAGATCGATCGAGTACAGAACTATATCATGCATCTTGATCCCAACGCAAAAAATAAAAAATTAAAAAAAATGGAACGACTGATGAAATAAATAATTGCTTCCGATATTTATGCTGCTTCTATTGCTATGTACAAGATTTGTCTGCACCCACAGCTTTATCAGCGACTCTGACTAGCAGCACAAGTGATAAAACTCAACAGCTTGGGTTTCTTAATGTTTCAGACGTGCCCTGCTTTTCTCCCATACACTCATACACGTGCGCAGCATGTTAGCTAGATGCATGTTTACTGTTCAGATGTAGTATTTGAAACAGCAGCGTAGTTGCAATCCACATCAACTGTGCTGCTATCTTTGGAACGCCTCTCTCTCACTGTAACCCAACTGATCTTCCACTTCTGGAGCAAGCTTACCCTGCATGCCACAAAATTTCGACAGTAAAAAAAACCACATATATAGATGCTGTCATTTAAATACGACAATTTATGCATATCCACAGCGTACTCAATGCAGTAAGTTGTCATGAATCCTACGAGAGCAACCCAAGATGGATGCAACCAAAAAAAAAGCATGTACATTCTTATTGATGGACCGAACAACGTTTGTTCTTCAACAAGCAGTCTAGAAGCTCACCTTTCTGGTTCAATAGTCCTTTTAGCTAGCATGAGAGCCAAGAAGACCGGTACCATCGCAGCACATAGATGCTTAAGAGTATGACCACTAACAATCTGATGAGTCCAGTTATAGATAGGTTTGTCGGCAGCCTCTTCCACTTTAGCAAGGAGGTAAAATCCTGAGATTAATTGTTTGACAAATCAGAACAATCCAGATTGCATAACTTGGATCAATGGTAAATTTTGCTTCCAAGAAATTCCTAGCAGTTAGTAATACAGATCAGTTAGAGTGGGCAGCTGCTGTTGCACCAAAATCCAGGAAACATCATTTTTTTTGTTGGGGGAAAAAAGAAGACATGAATTATTTTGTCAATGATAAATCATATACGATAAGTGGGGATAGAAAAACTCCCGCTGCTGAGAGCCTGTGCAATTGAAGAATTCAATAAGTTGCAAATACACGTTCTACTCCATCTGAATGTAAGTCCTAAGTTTTTCTTAAATTAATGTCCAAATTCCAATAGACCAAAAGAACAAACATCACAATGGCATTGAGAAACGCTCACAAACCTGCTGCCCACAACCAGTAGCTTGAATGTGTATACATCGGTGGAATTACTATAGCCATCACAGGTAAAGCAATGCATGGAACAAACTGAACCACTGCATACGGTGAAGATCATCAAAGTGTCTGCATAGAGGATAGACAGTGAAAATTGAGGGGTTGAAAATATAATATATATATATATATATATATATATATATATATATATATATATATATATATATATATATATATATATTCTCTGAGGGAAGAATATTTGAAAACATAGGAAAAACTTGCCTCCAATACATGATGCTCAAGGCACCAGTAATCACAAGTGGTGCAAGGGACTTTGCACCTGCTCTCTCATCAACCCTTTCAATGATGAATATAGCCATGACAGAAGTGAAAGCAATCGTCATCTAGAAAAAGAAAACAATTATGTCAACCTTCACCACGTTAAAAAATCTAGAACATCTCCTTTGGCTTTCTTCTATCTCTGTTTTGTTACTGTGCAGTTTTTTTCCCTTGCTTTTTAGGTCCTTGTACCTAAACCTGTTCTTTCTTTATTTTGTTAATAGAAATTGGCATGATCTGGTGATGGTTCGTTCAGGGGGTGTTGGGGACTAGAACATGAGTAATGATAAAAATGTAAGATGACTTTTGATGTCTAAAGCTCTAATGTGAGGTGGGCTAAAGTTTAGAGCTAACTTTACACCACCTGTTTGGAGCTTTAGCTCTAAAGTTTAGAGGAAAGGATCCAAACAGACCCTTAGTATGTTGAGGAATATCAGGTAACTGATCCTAGTTGAGTAGTGAAATAAAAGACAGTTGGCCTCTCCATGATTTCGTTGCCAAAATTCCCATGATTGTGGTACATTGCACACACGAAACTATGGGACTCCTTAGAACTAAACACAAGTAGAAACTATGGGACTCCATGGAACATAAAGGCAAACATAAGGTAGAGCGAGGAAAAAAAAAAGACTCACTGGCAGTCTGTCCCAAACTAGCGTGGCATCATTTGGGTTGAGATGGTAATAGGAAGAACCAAATCCAACAGCAGTGGCGCCGACAAAGAACAGTGTCCAACTCCAGAGCTCCCCCTGCGAGCTGGCAGCAAGATTACTGTCAGAGTGCTTTGAGTCTGTGACTCAGAACAGGAGTGAAACATGCATGAGCAGGTGTTCAGCACCTTAGCCTGAAATAGTTTTTGTAGTGGCACAAGATGAGCCCCGTGACGCCAACAAAAAAGAAGGGATGTTTGAGATCACATTCAAGGTGTTAGGAATCCCTGCAGCAGAGATGAAGGGTTAGATCGAAAAGGGTGACACCAAATTTCAGCATGGCAATATGTTGTTTAGATAAATATATAAACTCAGTATGGCAGCATGTCCATGCCATCTGTCGATTATCTGTACCATCAGTATCGACTAGAGCGTACAAGCATTTGATCCAGCTACCGATTCAATTAGCCAGTAGCATCAAAATAACATGATACAATTCTGAATTTCTGAACGTAGTGGCCAATGAACCATCAAACGCACCGTGCAGTATGACAAGAAGCGAGGTCACGCCAATTAACCAAGTTTGTTTCCCTTTTGAACTCAAGTTCATCCGTAGGTAGAGATTCCATTTAGTATGAATCGAAGAAACAAAATCGGTAGGGCAGAGCCCACTGGGAATTCAATTCCTAGCTAAGCTAGGCATACTATAGTAGGCACTGAGGCGCGGACGGGGGGGCGGGCAAATTGAGGCACGGAGGATGGTGGTGGCGGGTAGAGGGTACAGTACCTAGGAAGAGGGTGCGCTGGTCGGCGAAGTCGTGGTAGGCCTCGTCCTGCGGGATGGCGGGCGTGACGAGCATGAGGACGACGAAGATGGCGGCCGCCACCGCCCAGGCCACCCACTTCTTCTTCCTGCCTGCGTCCATGGCCCCTCCTCGTGGATGGCCGGCGGCGGCTGGGTGATGGATCGGGATTCGGGAGGAGAGGCCTGGCTGGCCGGCGGCGAGGCGGAGTAGAGCCGTAGCGAGGGGCGGATCGGCGAGTCGGCGTGGGGATTTGGAATTCTTTCGTTGGCTTCGCACGCTTCGCTAGCACTTGCGGTGGACCTTTCAGCTTCCAGACTCCGCTATAGTCAACTTCCTTCCTCCTTAAGCACCTTGTTTTTTTTCATTTTTTTTCAAAAAAAAATTGTTTTTAAATATTTTCTTTTGTGAATCTGACCTTTCTTGGAAATTCTACTTTTGGTAAAACATGTGCAGTTTCCTGCTTTGCTTGTGAGAGCAACAAAAAGAAGATTGTGCACCCCACCTATGACGACTTCCTTGGTTGCCGGGATTTCAAAGAGGACGAAATGGATTTGTGTGGCAATAATTTCCCAGAGCCCGTGGACGTGCGCTCTGTTCGCTTGGCTTATAAGCTGTACTTTTTCAGCCAACGAATAGTATTTTTTTCTCACAACAAATCAGTCAACAGTACTTTCAGCCATGGACTACATCTTCTTTGATGCTGACAGGGATTGTGATTTTGCAAAGTACTTGGACGATCAGGTTGGCTGTGATGACATATACAGGTCCTCCTGATGTTCAGGGCTTTGGGTATCGTGGATAGTGTTCAGTGTGATCTCTTGGTCAGTGAGGGTGGCTGACAGTAAGATGTGAATTGTAGAGGATTCCATTGGGAGGAGAACAAGTCACAGGGGATTCGCCTAGGGCTTATCTAACTAGTATAAGCAAAGGTGCTGACAGACAGACTACGTTGGTTAAAATAGTTTATGTAGATAGATGTCATGGGTCGTCTATTAAACTCGGCACAGCCCAGAATTTTGTTCCATTCGTGTTATGTTTGGTTGTCTGCTCTCAGTTTTTATTTCCCCTGTTTTCAGTGAACTGTTGCGAACTTTGCATCAACTAAAGGCTAGTGGATGGAGGATCGTTGGTTATTTTGATAAAGCCTCTGTTTAAAAAGGCGGCACATGCATTTTGCCAGGCTTCTTTGGTGTGGAAATGTTTTGAGCTTCATGTATATAAATAGGATAAATTGGAGATGGAGAAATATGAACTAGGATTATGACACTGTAAAGCACAGCATGCTCAAGGCTGTCATTCATGAAGAATGGTAGCCTAGATTTTTTTTTTGATAGGATGATAGCCTAGATTTCAGTTGCCTGGCTCTCAGGCGACGAGTTGCCAACTGATTGCAATCTGACGATCAGCAAACGTCCCCTGATCAGCATCTCCAAAGAGTTTTCAAAATCCACTCCTAATCTTTTTTTATAAAATTGAAAAAAAATTGGTCAATAACAACGCACAATCTCAACTCTCAATCTTTTCGCACCGGGGAAAATTGATCCAATCGCGACAAAGGCGTCTGTTTAATAGCAATTGCCTATGTGTACTTTTTGCTGTTTCTTTCCGTTTCCGAACCCCTTCCTGCGCACGCCGCCGTGTTCAACTTCACTGTGTTGGAATAATTAGAGTAAGTGGCTTAGCACTTTCCATTCATTGAGTTGGAGTTTATATAGGGAAATTACACGACTCTTGACATTCTAAACTTATCACATTCTATACTTATTACATTCTAATACCCTCCCGCAGTATCAACCGGGAGAGGAGCGGACGTTGAGACTGGATAGAAAGTTGATGAAGACAGCAGTGGGCAGTCCCTTGGTGAATATGTCGGCATATTGAAGGGACGTTGGAACATGTAGAACCCGCACAGCCCCAAGGGCCACACATTCCTGAACAAAATGTAGATCAATCTCCATGTGCTTGGTCCTTTGGTGATGAACTGGATTTGTGGACAAAAACGGCACTAATGTTGTCACAATATACAAGAGTAGCACGTGTTAGAGGGCGTGAAGTTCACCCAATAGTTGATTTAAGCCAACATGCCTCAACCACGGCATTAGCGACACCTCTCCAGTATTCACTTCATTACTAGATTGCGAGGCGGTGCTACCGGCGCTTGAGGACCATGATATAAGATTATCGCCAAGAAACACGCAATATCCGGAGAGGTGGAGCGTTTGATTAGAGCAAAGTGGGACTCCGAGGTCATGCATATATAAGCAAACTAGCTGAACGACATGAGCAATATCCGGCTGTGTGAGAGTCAAGTACTGTAAAGCACCAGCGAGACTCCGATATAATGTAGGATCGGCAACCGGCGGCCCGTCTTGGGCGGACAGATTGGAGTGAACCTCAAGCGGAGTTTGACAAGGATTGCAAGATGACATGTTTGCCTTGTCCAAAATTTCAGCAGCATATTTAGCTTGAGAAAGAAAAAGACCTGTAGATGAGCGTTGAGCTGAAACTCCTAGGAAATAATGAAGATGGCCAAGATAAGCCATGGCAAATTCTTGCTGCAGAGAGCCAATAATATACTGAAGAAGGCGTGGAGATGAAGTCGTCAATATAATATCATCCACATATAACGTAAGATAGGCCATATCTGCCCCTTGAGTGTAGATGAACAATGAATTGTCACTCTGAGAAGCCCGAAAACCAATCGAGGTGATGAATGCCTGAAAGCGGTAGCTTACACGCCTGTGGGGCCTGTTTGAGACCGTATAGGGCTTTGTTGAGCTTGCACACATGATTAGGACATGCTTGGATCAACAAACATATGAGGTTGCTGGCAATAAACAGTTTCATTCAGAGTGCCATGTAAGAATGCATTTTTGACATCCAACTGATGAATAGGCCAATCACTAGAGACAGCGAGCGATAATACTGTGCGGATGGTAGCAGGCTTGACCACGGGACTGAAGGTTTCATCATAGTCAAGACCGTGCTGCTGAGAGAATCCACGCACAACCCACCTAGCCTTGTACTGAGCCAAATATCCATCAACATTAAACAGTGACGATAGAGCCATTTGCCTGAAACAATATTAGCATGTGGTGGCGGTGGCACAAGATCCCATGTTTGATTGGCAATGAGGGCACCATATTCCTCCTCCATAGCAAGCTTCCAATTTGGATCAGAGAGGGCACCTCGATATGTTTTGGGGAGCTTGCTAATATCCGCTGGAATTGTGGATAAATTAAAGATTTGTCGAGGTTGACTGATACCTGATTTGTCCCGGGTTTGCATAGCATCTTTGATTGACGATCGTGATGCGACAACAATTGGCGCATTGGAGGATCGTTGAGCAAAATGGTATGACGGCCGAGGTAGAGGACGACAGACGTGGTCGTGGTAGAGGATGGTTGTTGTCGGCGCTCGTGACTGGGTGATCGGCGGCCGTGGAAGATAACCAAGTCCTCGATGATGTCGACCCGGTGGTAGCGCCAGACCAAATGGTCTGGCGAGCAAAGAAAAGTATGTCGCACTGGCCTCTGAGGCTAAGCGGTGGTGCCGAACCATGAGCGACACTGGTGTCCATATGTGTCGCACCAGCAGCCGGCGAGTCCCAAGCACGGGAGGTGCGGCATGCACGTGGTCTCCGATGTGTCGGACCAGCTCTGGCGATCCCAAGCACGGGAGGTGCAACATGCACGTTTTGTGTGGAGGAGCTGCCCAAGACAAGCGAAGCGCCACCTTTGGATCAAGAGCTGCGTGCGACGGTGATGGCACCACCGATGGTGAGTGGGGCCACCGGCACCATGCCCGTCGGAGGAACCAGCCCGTCGTCGAGCCCCAAGGGACGGCGAGCCAGGCGTTGGAGGTGAAGGGGGCGGGTGCCGCCATGGGAAGGACGCTAGACATCACTTGATCACCTGTCATCCAAAAAGTCATAGGCACTCAAAGGTGCCGGTGAGGTACGAGTAAAAGGGAACTGGTGTTCATCAAATGTCATGTGACGGGAGATGATGACACGGTTGGTAGAGAGGTCTAAACACCGATATCCCTTGTGATTATCGGGATAGCCAAGAAGCACACACTTGACGATCTTCGTGCGAGTTTATGTGGCATAGTGGATGAAAGGTTTGGATAGCAACGACATCCGAATATGCGGAGATGATCATATGTGGGTGGTGTACCAAAAAGGGTTTGGTGAGGAGTACAATTTTGAATGGTTTTGGTGGGGTGGATGTTGAAGACGTGAGTGGCGGTGCGCAGGGATTCAGCCCAATATGCCGGCGGCATGGAGGCTTGGAAAAGCAAAGTGCGCATGATGTTATTAATGGATCGAATGACCCGTTCGCCCTTGCCGTTTTCTTTGGGATGTGTGAGGACATGATAGACGAAGATGGATGCCGTGTTCAAGAAAGAAGGAGCTGAGCTGCATTATTCTCAAATTCATGACCATTATCGCATTGAATGAATTGAATACGAGAATTAAAGTGAGTGAGCACATATGTGTGGAAGTTATGTAAGTTGTTAAACGTTTGATTTTAGTTCTAGAGGGAAGGTCCATAAATAATGTGTGAAATCATCCCACACACAAGATAGTATTTAGAACCGGATATGCTCATAATTGGAGACGTCCACAAATCACAAAGAATTAATTCAAGCGGTTTAGATGCACGTGACAAGGAATTGAAAAAAGGTAGACGACTGTGACGACCCAATTGACAAGCATGACACAAGGAGGTGTCATGAGGACTAGGAATAACAAGAAATAGATTTATTTGACCGTAAGCGAGATAGAACTTGAGCATCGGGATGCCCTAATCGTTGGTGCCAAGTAGTCTCCAGGGCAGCGAGCAAAGCGCTAGGAGTTGGGGTGGACTGTGGAAGGAGCAGGTAAAGGTCGTCGGAGCTATCACAGCGGTGGAGCACCGCCATGGTTTGAAGATCCTTCACAGATAAACCAAAGGGGTCAAATTCAACCGAGCATGAATTATCTTTGGTAAATTTACGAACTGAAACAAGATTAGCTATGAGGTGGGGTGAAACAAGGACATTGGATAGGTGAAGAGGACGGTTGGAATTGGGAAACGAAGTGTGACCCGAACAAGTTATAGGTAAACGAGTTCCAT